CCTCTTTAGGTGAGGTGCATCGGCACCATATATCTCCCACCATTCAGCTGGGTTAAAATGCAAAAAGCATTGTAAGGGCAATAACATTTCATAAGATTAAATATATGAATGAACAAAATATTAGCTAGGGGATAACTTGGATCCATCTTAGTTCGAGAATTCCTAGCAAGTCTAGTTCCGAAAGATCCTATAGCATCCCTATACATAGCAAGCTAAAACAAATATATTTCGTTTTAGTGCATTATTCCTCACAAATATAACAACTCAATGAAGTTCTTACCAATAATACCTCTTGTATTGCTGCTACTTGGTTTCGATGGCTTCTCTCCAACCTTGCAATAATGTATCTGACCCCTTCCATAATTTTGTAGGGATGTTCAAGTGTCAAATAGAAGAATTTTAGGTTGAAGTAGTAACCTAAAAAATATATAGATAGAAAAATGTCATTTACAATTTTATAAGAAAATGATCTGAAACATTTTAATGATATAAATATATATTTACCAGCATAATGAATTGGACGTCTAATTTGGTGTTCCACCTCCTTTCTATAATCTTGATCACTTTGCTAGCAAAACTACACTTCTCCTCAATAGCTGATTTCGTCGGCTCGATATCTTCATAAAGGATGCCCATGGTAGCTTTTTTGTCAACATCCACCATTCTTAACACCGTGACCAAAGGGCCAGTGGCCTCTACGACACTAGAACATCGAGACTAGAACGTTCTATTTGAGACTATGACGTCCACTTTTATACCGGTACTGGACTTCGAGAGGCGGTCATTTAACCACCCTTCACAGGTAAACAATCTCTTTGATGCACCTTTAGATTCCCGAATGGAGTGCACAGCCAAGTAATCAGTCGCAAAGCGGGTTATGGCAGGCCTGATTATCTCTTTTTTCTTAGAGTGTTCTCTAAACAGAAATAAAATTTTACAGTGGTTGTATATAAATCTCGACACCAACCTTGCTTCTTCTAGAGTCTCCTTCACAATTTTGATCTCACAGATTTCCTCTAACATAAGATTGATGCTGTGTGCAGCACGCTTGGTCCATACTAGATGCTTCATCTTATCCATCAACTTGCTGCCCGTAGAAATACATGCACGCGCATTGTCCATAATAAACTGGACTACATGCTTATCTCCCACCTCCTCCACTGTCTGATCATATAGTCGTACGTAGAAGTTTGCATCCTTATTCGTCCCTGATACGTCTTTGTTAGACAAAAAAGTTGTACCTTTTGGGGAATAGGCCAAGAAGTTTAAAAACTCCTTTTTGCTAACTTTATTCAACCAACCATCACTCATGAGAGTAATGCCTGTCTTAGCCAACTCTGTTTATATTCTTCAATCCACTTTGTAACTTCCTCCACCTTTTCATCTAATATTGGCCCACTGAGCTCATATGCCGTCAGGGGTTTTACCCCGGGCCCGGCTTTCTGGATTGCACTGACCATAGGTAAAAAATATGGGCTATTGGCTACATCAAAGGAAATCCCCTTATTGTAGAACCATTTACCAATATATCTCCCCAACATGTTTCTTGTACCTTTAACCATGCCTTTTAGGGTCATCTGTTGTGACTTAGGCTTTGAGAGAAATGGGTCTATACGATCACCTGCAATAGTGACACACCTAGATAAGCTAAGAACTATTTCTTTGACGTTTGATTCTTGTTGACATATACTGCCACCAACCCCTCCATACATATTTGAGCTTGGCCCGCCATACATGCTCGACCTGGGCCCGCCATGCATGTCTAAGTTGAGCTCGCCATACATGTCTGAGCTAGACCCACCATGCATGTCTGAGCTAGACCCACCATGCATGCCTATGTTATAACCACCAGGCATTCTAAACCCACATTCCCTATGATATTGTTCATGTAAACTCATTCTTGTGGTCATATCCAGGTCATTATTATATTGCTCTTCTAGATCATTCCTGCTTGATGGCGTATATAAACTGTTATCTCCTCATTCATCCTATGTCTGGCAATTTTTTTACCTTTGTTAGCCTTACGAAATGCCGCCATCTGTTTTTTACATTAATAGGGACACTACTGCAGGCAGAAACATCTCCCTCAACCCCTGCCAAGTGTTGCTTGAACCTATGTACTCCACTACTTATCACTATTTGGCAGTAATTATAAATAATTTTGTCTTTTTTGTTGGGATCAAGTCTGACCCCATGTTGCCATGCAGGGTCTTCTGCAGATCTTGACATGATTCAACTGTTTTAATATGTAAAAAGTTAAAAATTAACCTGACAGTTCAACAAGAAAAATAATTACCATGTGTCGAGATAATATGTTGGGGTAGTTCATGTAGTTATATTTGTTGTTATTTGTTATTGCAAAGTAGTTTTATTGACAATAATATTTTCGTACATATCAATTACAAACATACATGGTAATATAATACAAAATGCAAGCTCCAAACATGGCTACAACTCAATTATCAAGAACATACATTTTTTGCATTAAAAAATTAATAATAAAATTGAAAAAATGCAAGATAATATAATTGTCATATATGCCACGATTTTTTTACAATGATATTCACTTTAATTCCTCACGATAATACAATTTAACAACATGTATTTTTTACGTTCAAAATTTAAAAAATTGAAAACATTTTAATGCAAAACTACATTAAACATATAATACAGTTTTGCATTAGAAATATAATAACATGTTTGTTTTTGCATAAATATTCTATCAACATGCAATTTTTTCAACAAAAACTTTAACAATACAAATTAAAAATATGGTTTAATACCTCATGATAATCAAAACCTGGTCATTATTTTCACATCTTTTCGAGAAATCACGATTTTTCAAAAAAAATCGATCATGTACTAAAAAAAAAAACAAATAAAAATAATTCTTCACAGAGCCACCTAACATAAGTCATTTCAACTAAAAAATGTATTAACAACAAATTAAAGAAATACAGTTTTGCATTAGAAATATAATAACATGTATGTTTTTTGCATAAATATTCTATCAACATGCAATTTTTTCAACAAAAACTTTAACAATAAAAATTAAAAATATGGTTTAATACCTCATGATAATCAAAACCTGGTCACTATTTTCACATCTTTTCGGAAAATCACGATTTTTCAAACAAAATCGATCATGTACTAAAAAAAAAACAAATAAAAACACCTCTTCACAGAGCCACCTAACATCGGTCATTCCAACTCAAAAATGCATTAACAACAAATTTAAAAAATACAGTTTTGCATTAAAAATATAATAACACGCATTTTTTTGCATAAATAATCTATCAACATGTAATTTTTTCAACAAAAACTTTAGCAATAAAAATTAAAATTATGGTTTAATACCTCATGATAATCAAAACCTGGTCACTATTTTCACATCTTTTCGAAAAATCACGATTTTTCAAAAAAAATCGATCATGTATTAAAAAAAAAACAAATAAAAACAATTCTTCAAAGAGCAACCTAACATCAGTCATTCCAACTCAAAAATGCATTAACAACAAATTAAAAAAATACAATTTTGCATTAAAAATATAATAACATGCATTTTTTTGCATAAATAATCTATCAACATACAATTTTTTTAAAAAGAACTTTAACAATAAAAATTAAAAATATGGTTTAATACCTCATGATAATCAAAACCTGGTCACGATTTTCACATCCTTTAGGAAAATCATCATTTTTCAAAAAATTCGATCATGGATTAAAAAAAAAAAAAAAAAAACAAGCAAACTCAAATAATAAAAATTAAAAATATGGTTTAATACCTCATGATAATCAAAACCTTGTCACGATTTTCACATCTTTTCGAAAAATCACAAATTTTCAAAAAATTTGATCATGGATTACAAAAAAAAAAAAGAAAGAAAATATGGAAATTTGTTCTTCACAGAGCCACCTTACATCAGCCATTTCAACTAAAAAATTCACCTCCAAACGAACAAATTACATCCAATTGAGTACATGTTTTGATAAACAACAATATAAGGAATCAAAACCCGAAATTATGAATACATTATCATCAATAAATCAAATCAAATCGATTAAATTGTGCCAAAAAAAAAAACGCAGTTCTTCACAGACAACAGTCATTAAATCTAAAAAATGAAGCTCAAATTGAATAAATCAGATCAAATTGAATACATCTGATTATAAACAAGACTATAACTATTAAAAACCCTAGAAATCTAACACGTATTTTGTAATATATCGTGAACAATAGATCGAAAGGCGGAAAAAAAAAAAAAACTGCAGAAATTTTTTTCACAGACATCACTGTGTTCTTCTAAAAAATCAACTTGTATTTCGTGAACCCGTGGCTTCAATCTCCAAATTACGCTGTTTTTCTCAAAGATTATCACAAATTCGTAACAAAATTTTTTGATGAACACATTTACGATCAATATGCCTCAAAATTTTTATAGATTCATGCCCTATTTGGCATGAAAAAAAAGAAAAAACGGAAACCCTAAAACCCGCAACTTTCATGATCCAAAAACATGAAATTTCAATCCATGAAAAGGCTGAAAAAAGCTGCATAAAGCCTGAATATTCAATAAAATGACCAAAAAAAGAAGAAAAATGATAAAAAAATGATAAAATTTGAAGAAACTCGTGAAGAATACTGTGCAGCCCGTGTTTTTTACGGAACTCGCCTATTTTGTACAGTGAATCGGTGAGTTACTGTACAGAATCGCCCAATTCTTTCTAAAACCAAACAATTCTGTACATTATGCCAGAACCGACACGTCATGTACCAATTCTCGAGTTGAACTTGACGAGTCCGGTTTGGCTCGACGTCTTTTAAAACCCTCGGGTGTTGATGTAAAAAAGCACAAGAGAGTCAATATATGATGAAATACGCAAGTGAGAGCGAAAAAAAGATGAAATTTCATTTATGAAAAGAAACGTTGAAAAAACCTCTTACATTTGGTGTATCTAAAATACACGCGGTACAAGCTTCGCGATTACGTCATTTCTCCTCCATCGTCCCAGCCGTACACTTCCCCGACAATCCACAACCCAACCCTCATTTATTATCCATTTAAATCACACTCCCATACACGGTTCCCTCCAATGGCCACCTCCTCCTCCTCCTCTCTCCTTCTTCGGGAATTCTCCACAAAACGGCCTGAATTCACTCGCCGGAGAATCCGTTTCTGCAACTCCCGCCAATGGAAGCGACGCCGCCTTAAAAGAGACCGTAATTTCATTGTTAACTGTGGCTTCTCACCTCAATTCAGTAATAATCTCCAATCCTTGAGCACCATCTTCAATAACCTAATTTCTCAGGTGCCTTCCACTAATTCCATTGACCTTATAGCTCCAGTTCTGGGTTTCATATCTGGCCTTGCTCTCTATACCTCTCTTAGGAAAGCTCCCTCGAATTTCGCTGGAGAATGGGTCCTGATTACCAGTCCGACCCCTTTCAATCGGTTCGTGTTTCTTCGATGCCCTTCGATTTCATTTGAAGATGGAGCGCTGTTGGAAAATGTGAACAAGAGGCTTTTGAGAGAGGATAGGCATTTCGTGAGGTTTAATGGTGATTTAAAGGATGATTGCCTGAGTAGTGGGACCATTTCAGCTAAGGCTTTGGGTGATGATGCAGAAGTTAGGGTTCAATCAGAGGAATTTATGTATCAGAGGATGTGTTTACATGCAGAAGATGGGGGTGTGATTTCGCTGGATTGGCCTGCAAGCCTGGAAATGATGAAGGAGCATGGGCTTGATACCACTTTTTTGCTGGTTCCTGGAACAGTTGAGGGGAGTATGGATGCAAATGTTAGGGCTTTTGTGTCTAAGGCTCTGAAGCATGGGTGCTTTCCCATTGTTATGAACCCCAGGGGTTGTGCAGGTTCTCCTCTGACCAGTCCACGGTAATTGCTTTTCCATTATTCTACTATTTGTAGTTTGTGTGAAGAGTCTCCGGTTTCTCTGAAGAGACTCATCTGAAGAGACTCAATGTCCATTGATCCTAAATAGAAAAATATAAATGACAAAAATAGAAATAAATCACAAACACCTACTATCCAGACTTACCAAGGACAACATATTGTAGCTACCCTTCCCAATACCTTACAATATACACCTTCCCAAATATGCAGAATACCATATACACCTTCTATATTAACTTGATAGGTAATATATACTTTCCTTTTACAGTTTTTAAATGACTTATTTTCTTTACGTTTTGGAAAATAACCAACCCCTTGCCCTCTCTGCTGCTCTCCCAACAACTACAACCCCTCAGCCTAGTCTCCCTATGGCTTTTTCCATCTTGACCCTCTCTCACTATATCCCCATTTCGGTGCCACCAAAAACCAGCTTCTTGGGTCGACTTACCCATGGATCGATAGTAGGGTAGCCTCTCAGTTCTCAGGTCATGGACCTTACGAGTTTATGACCACTGCCCGGATTCCCGCGGGGGCAGCACTTGGACATGATGCTTAGCCGATCTTTCCGAGTGATCAGCCACATCGGGATTGAGAGAATTCAGGTTACCCTGAGAATTCTTTTTCTTTTTTGTGCTGGCCGGACTAGGGAGAAAGAATTTTTACGTTCATCTTCGTCTGTTCTTCCAATCCAGTCATTCGTAGAGACGAGAAAAGGAAATGCGAATGAATTGATTTGATTTTTCAAATCCGAATGAATTGGGAAAGCAATGGATGGGAGTAAAGATAGAAATAGGATGGGAGCTCAAAAGGACTTATTATGGGGTAGGGTAAATTCAAATTTGATGTGCCGTAATTAGAAACTAATGAGGGGGCTGAAAGAGAGAGAAAATTCTGCTTCACTGCTTTCAAACAAATTCTTTCGTTATGAGGGCTAAATTTGGATTCGATGAAAGGATACAAATTCAATGAAATTCGCTTACTTGCTTTTGATTGAAATTCAATGCTAATTCTTGGATAATAGGGATTTCTCGATTCTTTACCCGAATTCATTCGTTTGTTGTTTCGAAGAAAGGGAAATGCGAATGAGGAGATAGCCACTGCGATCCTCGATCCTTTCTCACCCCTCTGTTCAGTGGCTGGGTCGTCTATCCATTCCAATAAGAGCTAAGACCTCTCGTATAATAATTGTATAATATAAAGACTCTCTGCTATGGATTAGGAAGAAGATCAACGCCGCCTTTTCCGTTTGTCCGTCACCCCCTGTCTCCTGCCAATGCTCATTCTCCAAGGTTTCCCGTTTGTGCCCATGAAAAGACTCTTAGAATGCTTTACTAATCCCACTTGTGTATAGCCATATCATCCATGGGGGAGGGATTGTGAATCGAGGAGATTTGCGTACTATATCCGAATATCAAATGATTTCTTCCTCACGAGCGGTGCTCATTCCGGTGGGCGTATATAAAATGATTGACTCGGTCCTACCTACCCCATGACAGGCTGGTTTTTTGTCCGGGAGTGGCACGAGGAGCTGACCTAGCTGATGCAAACTAGTCGTAGCGGTGACCGACCCATCTTGGACTGGTTCGAAACGAAATTGATTAGTGCGTGCCGATGCTGAATGATTGGTACGAGGTGGGGATGAAAAAGCAAGTTTCTTTATTGGAAGGAATGAAGGCTTGCTTGATCTCAACTAACTAACGTCTTTCCCTCCTGTGTGGGCTCCCGCCCGGATGCAGGAACTAGACTAGGCGAGCCCCTCGAATGCCTAACTTAGTTCGAATAGAATTTTCTTCGAAAGGTTAAAGAATTCTTTCACCAACTGACTATCTTCGCGGTAGCGAGCTTTCCTGTGAGGAAAGGGGCCGTCGTCGATCACGCTTATCTGGCCTAAGAGCCAACTAGAGGGAAGAAGAGTTCAGTTCTTCCTGCTTCCCACTTCTACATCATCCATCTCAACCATCCTATCCGATTCGTAAGGGCCCATCCATACTAGTGAGTTAGTTCTGCCGGGGTCTATCTATCCATCTATCTCCCACTGAAGAACCAATCCCTCCTACCTCAATCGTTACCTATCCCCCATCTCCATGGCCAGGTTGGGCAGGGGAGGAAAGAGGAATAGATAGAGAAGTCAAGGGAGTAAGCCCTTGTCCCTCGATTAGGTTTGAGTGAATGAGCCACTGCCATTACTTTCATTTGATAGGATAGGAGGAGTTGCAAATCTCCCTTCGGTAATAGAGCAAGGGTAAGAGTAAGATAGAGAAGAGATAGATAGGTGCTAGGGGAGTTGTTGCTTGTCTTGGTGAGGAGGTAGGCTTAAGCTAATCCCTCATGCCTTACAAGCAAGTCTCGTTTCCTTATTCTTAGGACTGTGGTAAACAAGATACAGGATAATCAATAGAACATAGGAGTTGCTAGCCGGCGCCTTCCTACGCAGAGCAAGGAGAAGGAAGAAGGGAAAGACAAGCAAATAGAGGAAATAGAGAAGGTAACACTGGACTTGCTAATCTCCCAGTAGTAGGGCATTGAGTCCAAGAGTTCTTTGCCGTAGAGTCGACGTTCCGCAGGCTCTACTTGTAGGTCTATTGGACTGTCTTGCCTGTTAGGTGAGTTGTTTCGTGTCTTGTGATGAGGGCTTGTTTTGTGAGGAAGTAAGCTTAAGCTAGTCCCTCATTCAAGCAAGTATGATCTGTTTCTTACTAATACTCAACTACGCAAGGGAAAGGCAGGTAGGGGCTGGGCTCAGCAAGTGAAGATAAGGTTCTGTCTCTCCCGTACAAGCAAGCTGAGTCTATTGAATCAACTACTCTATTCCCTGCCTTTCAAGCAAGCATGGGAAATAGGAGGTTAGTGCATGAGTTGTAGATGTGGAAGCCAAGCAAGGGACAGAGGAAAGGAATAGTAAATGGCCAGTTCTAAGCAAGTGAAGGACAAACCAAGCCAAGCAATTGAATTTTTTCAAGTGAGAGGACCAAGTAAAGCTAGTCCCTTCTGTTTCTAGAACAGGTCTAGTGTTTATATAAGAATAAGAATTAGTAAGGGTTGTAAGGTAAAGAAGAGGAAGGCAAAGAGTGGACTGAGCAAGGGTGTGGATCAAGCTATGGCAGATTGAGTAATTGAATTGAGGGGTGAGGGGCTACAAGTAAGGAAGGCTGCGAGTGAAGTGCGTAAGCATGGAGCGAGCCAAAGAGCGAGTGAAGGAATCCAGGAAGGGAGTAGCAAGTGAAGCAAGCAAGTAATGCAGCAATCAATGAGGGGCAAGCGAAGGAGACAGACACGAGTGAAGGAGAGAAAGACCAAGCAAGTGATAAAACAAACAAGTGATGGAAACAAATAAACAAGTGACGAGAACAAAGAAGTCAATGAATGACGGAAACATGCATAAAGAGAATGATAGACAAGTTCAACAAGCAATGAATAAAGGTGGTTGAGAACTCAGAAAGAACTACTTAGCAAAAACGCTGCAAGTAGGTTGAGAACTACACGAGCTCTTTTGAGGCTGAAATGTTCTTCGTCCTCCACTTGCCAGAGACTATGGGGATCTGGGATTTGAGAACACTGACTGACGGCACTCAACTGACGGGACTTCGAGGCAGGTATTTGACTGTATACCTATACCGACGGAACAAAGGCATGAGATTGAGACGGAGACCACAACTTGATGCGAGTACGAACTATACCACAAGCTTATAAGCGTCGAGAGCCCAGGCCAAGGAGCTCTCTCGAACAGGGAAACTCGAAACCCTACCCTAACACCAGCTTCTTAGAAACCACGTTTTTTCTCCTCTTACGACTCGAACAGGAAGTAGAATTCCTATATCGACAGCGAAAGCACCCGCCTGTGTAGGCTCGCTATGTTAAGAAGCACTATGGCGCCTGGAACTGGAAAGCCTAGTTTCGAAAGCCTCAGCCTAGAAGTGTCTTCCCCTCAAATAGTCCTCGAAAAGGAAGCTCAGTGCCTATCTCGAAAGCCCAAGAGCTCAGAGGCCAGGGAGAACTACGGAAAGTACACTTGTTGAAGGAATCATCAGAGGCTTGAACTTTAAACAGAGAGAGATTAGGCCGGGAACTCGAAAACCTAATGGCCCTATCACCTGGAAACTAGAAAGCCACAAAACGACTATATGCTCCAATGCCAGGGAGGCTAAAAGGCCTTCAAAGGGAAGGAACCTAAAGTCTATTACCAACCCTCTGTAGATGTCTTGGTGTTGCTATCACACAAAGGTTTTGTGTGAAGCAACTCTTCCTTACCTTTTTTTTTTGGGTAAATCAGGAATAAAGGTAGAATAATAGATCTATCTGATTCGTACTACAACCCGTTTTTTCATTAATAAGGAAGAAACAAAAAACAGCTCATTACTTTCTATAGGGCAATTGTGCCAAATCATGAGTTAAAGCAATGGAAAGAAAGTCTGGCGGTTGCCTAGGCGGTGGGGGGTCTGGGTCGCTTAGACGCTAAGGTGGCCGCCCAGACCCAAAGGTGGCTGTTGTTTTTTTTTTTTTTATAAAAGTTGGATCCCCCATACCTCCCCCCATTTGTTGTCTATGCTATAAAATAATAATTACACATTAATACTATTTTTTTGGTTTACAATAAATTAATAATTCATGTTACATACAAAAATCATTTTCGTAGTTATTATTTTTGAGTTCCCAATAAATTAATTACTAGCATATGCAAAAGGCATTTTCAGTAAATTAGTAATTATGAATTAATTCTATTTTTTGGTTTCCCAATGAATTAATAATTAATGTTACATGCAAAAAATATTTTCGTATTTATTATTTTTGGGTTCCCAATAAATTAATTACTATCACATGTAAAAGGCAATTTTGATGAATTAGTAATTACAAATTAATAGTACTTTTTTGATTTCTGGATAAATTAATAATTAATGTTACATCCAAAAAGCATTTTTGTAGTTATTATTTTTGGGTTCCCAATAGCTTAATTACTATCACATGCAAAAGGAATTTTCGATAAATTAGTAATTACGAATTAATACTATTTTTTGATTTTTCAATAAATTAATAATTAATGTTACATGCAAAAAGCATTTTCGTAGCTATTATTTTTGGGTTCCCAATAAATTTATTACTATCACATGAAAATTTGTTTTTCAATAAATTAGTAATTACGAATTAATACTATTTTTTTGGTCTCAGAATAAATTAATAGTTAATGTTACATGCAAAAAGCATTTTCGTAATTATTATTTTTTGGTTCCTAATAAATTAATTGCTATCACATGCAAAAGGTATTTTCGATAGATGAGTAATTACAAATTAATATTATTTTTTTGATTTCCTAATAATTAATGTTACATATAAAAAGTATTTTTGATAAATTAATAATTATGAATTAATACTATCTTTTGGTTTATCAATAAATTAATAATTAATGATACATGCAAAAAGCATTTTCGATAAATTAATAATTAAAAAATACTATCTTTTGGTTTACCAATAAATTAATAATTATTGTCTCATACAAATTACGAAATAATAATTACGATATTTTCAAGGCAGCGCCTAGGCGCTCTCGTTTTACACCGCCTAGGCGGGTGCCCTGGGCGCCTTGGCAGGCGTTTTGGGAGCCTAAGCGGGCATCTAGCTTTTTTCGCCTAATATAGTCCGCCTTGACCACACTTAGGTGTTTTTGTGAAAAAGTTCGCATAGGCGGCGGGGCAGCCGACTTTTCGTTCATTGATAAAATTTAAATATTTTCTTAATACTTCTCTCATGTACCAGAGTGGATTGGGGCATGAATCCTGAATGAGGAGAATACGATTCCTGAACGATGAGAATCTCGATTTCAAGTTGATGGGAAAACGATTCCAAAAATTTAGGAATCACGATGCCAATCTCATCGGATCGTAATTCTAGAAGCCATTGAACGATATAGGGTCATGTGCAATTCCAGAATGGTATGATACTCGATTCCAACATGATGAGATACCGATTCTTATAAACAGGAAACACGATTCCTATTACATTGGATCGCGATTCCAATATAGTGTGAATCACGATTCGATGATTTGAATAGTACGTACAGCGATTCCAAGATTAGGAATCATTTGATACATGTGATTCCGCAATTCTGATGCTTAAAATAATTGGGAATCACAGGCGTTTCCAACAACTATAGTTTCGATGCATGATTCTTATGCATCGAAATGGTAGAAGGAACTAAGATTGCCGAGCACATGCAAATTTTTCGGGCCCTAGTATGTGAAGTTGAAGCCATCAACATAAAGCCCCCGAATCTATGCAAGTTTGCCATCTTTTGAACACTCTCCCAACTCCCTGGGAGGTGTTTGTATCTTCTCTCTTTGCTCGAGAGACAACTCCCAATTTAGAGGAGCTTATGATCCTCCTTAAGGTCGAGGAAGAGAGGAAAAGTGCATTTGATGCACCCGCACCTTGTGATGCGGTGAATGCGGCTAACTTTAAGCCTAATGCGCATAGTTTTAAGAAAAAAGGTAAGTCACACCAAAAAGAAAAATAAGAATAACAAAAGGGGAGAGAGAGAACCGGAAGATAAAAAGCTGGGAGAAAAGAGAGAGTGCTATACTACGGTAAGGTGGGACACAACTAGATTTTGTAAAGAGAAAAAGAATTATGCCATGGGGAATAGAGAACATGCTTGTGTGGTGTTTGAATCTATGCTAACTAATACCAAAGGTGCTACTTGGTGTTTTGACTTGGATATTATAGCCCATGTGTCAAACTCCAAGGAAGGATGAACGCTAGTGGGTAATTCATATACATGGGTGGAAATCAAAAGAATGAGATTGGCTTTGGGGACTATGATATGGATCTGAAAAATGGGGATAATGGTCCTGAATTATGCTTCTGAGATGAGGAAGTGTTTGGTTTCAGTCCCAAAATTGGCTTAATGCCAGCTATGTCACCATTTTTGCTGCTGATAAGGTGACATTTAAGACTCGTGGGGAAGTTGTTATGACCGAATGCTAAAGAATGACCTCTTTGAAATTAAAATAAAGAATCAAGTTGCTTATGTCCCATCTCTTGAATATGAGAATGATGCTTAGTTATGACATACGAGATTAGGGCACATGAACCATATGAGAATGGAGAGATTAAAGAAAGATGGTCTTTTTTTTTGACACAAGCTGTCCTATAGCCAGAAATTGATCGGTGATGGTCTTCATCTTGCTCTGAGTAGTCCATGATAGTTGATGGATTTCTCTTTGTGTTTTGGAAATCCATTTTCACTTGCATAGACCTTTCTTTTGAAACTTCAGAATAAGTATGAGTTGAACTATTCCATAGTGTTCTTGCACCACAATCATCTATAATCCTAAGTAGCACTTCTTGAGATAGTGTTGATGTAATGTACGCAAATAGTGCTTGATCCTGGTTCATCCAAATGGACCCATCTGCAAATCCCATTCCTTATTTTTCTTCTATAAGGATATTTTCCATCAGTATTGTGTCAGATCATCCAAGTGATGCATAAGATCAAAACTACTAATAGAAAAGGCAAGATTTGATGCTTCCATGCAAGAAAATTTGTTGAGGTTAATATTCAAGGAAAAAGTTGCCAAAGAAAGGAAGAACTGAAGGGAAGATCCATTGAATTATGGAATGAGGAAAAGATAATGAAAATAAGATTTTAGGAATTAAATTATATATATTTTTTAGGACATTTTGTAATCTTTTTTTTGTTTGTTTGTTTGAGGAATCTATTTTTGAAGACTTCAGGTAAAAGGATTAAAAAAGATTGAGAAAAGGAATTAAAGAAATACATGATAGGATCTTAGAAGAAAGCAGAAAGGAGATGGAGTTAGGGTTAAAGGGAAAAGAATTAAAAGAATATTGAGAAAAGATATCAAAGAAAGAAGTAATCAGACCTGCAAATAACAGAAAAAAGAGATGGAATTAGGGTTACCTATACAGATCTTTTTCCTGCTTTGGTACTGTGTAAGAAATAAGGGTTGAAGAAAGAAAGACAGACACATGGTAGGGCTGCAAGTCGATTCCATCTTTTGGGATTAGTGGGTGACTAATCACATTACAACTTAGGATACAATGTCACAGTAAATATCCCTTACATGTACAGTGTATACGTTAGTACTTTATACATGTATAATATTTGCTTTACGTTATTCTGAGTATAATAATTTAGAATACTCCCCTTAGACATCACTTTTGTTATAATTTTGGTTGTCTGATCCTCAGTCCTCGAAGTTTTGGATGATTCCTGAACTTTCATCCAAAATCTCCTTTTGTGGCACCTCTCGATATTTCATAATTTGATTTTTCAAGCATTTTTAATTGTGCAATGTTAAAAAGAATTCTAAAAATATTTTATTGGATTTTTCAAAGAAAACAGAACATGTCTAGGAGCAATGCCCGTGGTCTAAGGGCATTTTCCATGCTAGGGCCATGGCCAGCCTGTGGTCAGCGCCCCTGCTGAGGTGCTAGGCTCCACCTCTAGCAACTAGGCCTCGAACCCACCTTGAGGTGCTGCCTAGGTGCCCGTAACTGACACCCTTTGGCATATTGCTTGGGACTAGGCAACTCATCTTAGGTCCAATCCAAATCCAAAGCTGTGGCTGATTTTTGAAACTTTGGTTTTGAAAATGGACCTTGATTTAGGCATTGAAAACTCTGCATGATACAATGAACAAAGAATTACCTATGCTGTGGTGTGTATAGACACAGCACATGCTGAAGATTTTCTAGACATGCTCATGGAGGGGACAATATATAGGATCACAAGAGGGAATCTTGGTTCTCCTCATGTGATGAACTTATCAGAGGGATCTGAGAATTGAATCTGTCTGGCGCTAGGAAATTGTGGAGCATCAGCGTTCATTAGGAAGGCACATGCCGTTGCTTCATGGTCGTCGGGAGTTAGTGGTGATCATGTTCTAGGCATTTGCAGGTGGTCACTTGACACCATGGAATTTGCATGTCCCTGGTTCATGTGGATGTGCATTTTCATGTTCTCTTTGTATATCCGGTGGAATGATGTGTTTGAGTTGTGGCTTGATTAATACCTCTATATGATGCTACCCTGTGGCATGTATGGTACAGATTATTTTTCTTTTCCTTCATGTTTCAGTAAATATCATTTTGTTATATATATTATGTATAATCAAAATATTTGTTGCCTATGCTGAGTTCCTATAATTTATACATTATAAAAACCCGGCAAAATCATATTTTGTCTCCTCCTTGAGTTGGTGTGGTCTTGTTATTAAGAGATTTTAATAATTTGATTTATGTAGGTTATTTACAGCTGCTGACAGCGATGATATCTGCACAACTATACAGTACATAAATAGGTCCAGACCATGGTCAACATTGACGGCTGTTGGATGGGGATATGGAGCGAACATGCTGACCAAATATCTCAGTGAATTGGGAGAGAGAACACCCCTCACAGCTGCCGCTTGCATAGACAATCCTTTTGATCTAGAAGAAGCAGTGAAGACATTTCCTTCCCGTATAGCTCTGGGTCAAAATCTTACCAGTGGATTGAAGGATATTCTTCGAGCTAATAAGGTCATTGATCATGCAAACTATAATCAGAATATGTGCTCGTTTTATTTTAATTTTATTTATTCTGTTTTCGTGTTTTCTTCTTTCATAAATTGTGAAATCTGTGTTAGAATTTATTTTGATCCAGACTTAGTCAATCCGACATTTAGCTCATACATGCAGGAACTCTTCCTAGGGAGAACAAAGAGATTTGATGTTGCAGAGGGATTGTCTGCAACATCTCTGCGTGATTTTGAAAAGGCAATATCCATGGTATCTTATGGCTACAATACAGTAGAAGAGTTCTATTTGAAGTCAAGTACAAGGGAATCCGTCGGGAGTTTGAAGATTCCTGTTATCTTCATACAGGCATGTGATACAGTGTCAAAATTCTAGAGCAATTTGTCCTTGATAGATCTGATTCATGTTTTCATATAATTTTGTCTTTGAATTATTTGTGGGTTTTAAAATTCGATGGATGATGCTTTTCTGATTAATATTTATCGTATCTTGTGATGATGTCATGCATGTTTATTTAGCCTCTAGAGTAGAGACGGAATGTTTAATAGCTCTTTGCTGCCTTATGGACAAGTATTTCCCAAAAACAATAGCCCATGTATGAAAATTGAAATTGCAAAGTGCAAGAACAGCAACTTCAGAAATTGAGGGTTCTGGTATATTCTTTTCTTACTAATGAGACTAATTTGTATGAAAGAAGTGCATGAATTGAATATGCGAATGCATAATGGCCTGCAAGACCATGAATGAAAAGTTTTGATTGGTTGCGACAATTTCTTGGGGACAGAAAGAGTTAATAATTCTACAAGAAAAGGAACAGATGTGCACCCGGCAGTGCTTAAAGTGAGAGAGGGCAGTCCAACAGACACATGCATGGTCAGGTTTAATCATGCAATGTGTGCTGTCTAGTAACAGGATTGGCGGTAGGAGTGAATTTTGAAGGAAATCCTTGGTAAAAATAAAGTTTGACCGTTTACATCTTGTACAGAAAAAGCCAGGAAAGAATTGAGGCTCGTTTGCCCATAAATGTAGTACACTAGTGAGTGTAGTTGTATGGAGTCCTATGGACCAAACATTTACATAGAGAACTCGGATCGCTGAAAATATGAACATAAAAGATTGGCAGTGTTATTATAATGTGTTTTTAGTGTGATGCCGTGGGAACTTGATTTTGTGTTTAAAGATGTTCAAATAGGAAATTTGCAACGGTGTGCAACTTTTGGTTTATCATTGCAGCTATCAAGGATGCCAAGCAACGCAAGAGGATCATTCTTTTTGTGTTGTAAAATACTATAGATATTGCATGAGATGTCATAGATCAATGAGTGGATGATTTGCAGCCAAGGATGCTGTGTGATCTTTCTGAATGGCTTGAGTCTTACTAATGGCTTAGCTTGCTTGTGAACTTATATTATGTTGATGAGGATCAATATCTTGTAGGTTGAAAGGAACATAATACTTCTCATGGTTCAAGATAAATATGGAAAATCCCTTTGCATAGCAAAGACAGTGATTTTTCCCTCACAAGTTTGATATGCAGAACTAAATTCACATAATACTTCTCATGGTTCAACATAAAAATGGAAAATCCATTTGCATAGCAAAGACAATGATTTTTCCCTCACAAGTTTGATATGCAGAATGATATTCACATGTAGTCATGTTACCAAACATAATCTTATTGCTTTTATAAGATGATAAAAAAATTGTAGAATCTGTTGTTTATGAATGCTGGAGACCTTAATCTCAAGTTCTGAGAATGGCTGTACAGGACATGTGTCATGGAATAATGAATGCATGACTGTAAACGAAAGCTGTAAAGAGAGTACAGCTTCAGGAACCTGTATGAGAAAGATGGTAATTGACAATGAAAATATGGTTTGTTGTACAAGGACTTAGGTTTTGGTCACATTCTTGTTGCTCTTTTCATTTAGCAGTCAATCATTTAAATATATGCTTAAAATCTACATTGAATTATTTGCATCACCCATTTTCTCATCTGTTGTTATTTCACTAATTTTGCATTTTAACAGAGTGATGAAGGTATAGTTCCCTTGTTTTCTGTACCACGCAATGAAATTGCAAGCAATCCATTTACAAGCCTTCTGCTTTGTTCTTCTTTTCCATCATCCAAAGGAACATACAAGGAGAAATCTACCCGTCCATGGTGCCAGAATTTTGTGATTGAGGTATTCTTATTTTCTTCTTCATTTTAAAAAAGTTGTACTTCAGTTTTATGTAACTCATGCATTTATTCATTAATATATGGTTGGTACATAATTAGTGCATAATTGTAATATCGACGGATTGTACTTGTCCTAATGCCCTCTATGTTACTTAAGTTTCTTAAGATATCATTGATGTACATTGATAAACATGATGAAAGGAGAACGTATGGGTTGGTGTGTGTATCTATAAATTGTTGGGATATTTTGAAGGACTGTTAATATTGTTTCAGAAATTCAGTGCTTCCCAAAGTGTTTTCTGGGAAAATATGGTTTATGAATTTGATGACTTGGCCTCTGCTTTGGCACATCCACAATATTGAAGTTTCGATTTGGGCTTCATGAATAGCTTTATTTATCGGATTTCCTTTGTTGTATTTTATTTTCTTATTTGTTCATAAGTAAACAATTATGTAACTGGAACTGAATCTTTTCCTGTTTCTGTTCGCATTTGATTTTGGTTTTTGCTGGCCATATGTTTTCAGATATCCCAACGTGATGAACACTTAGTCGACAGATGTTCTTATAGCCTCAGGCATGTTATGAAGAACTCCTGATCTTTATCCTTGGCATCATCAGTTTGGTGCTGAGGGGAATGAAATGTCTCAAATAGTTTTATCATGTTTTGAAATGGCAGTCTGGAATATTTCAGTCATATCCTGTTCTAATGTAACTAAAATTGGGTGCTGCAGGGTAAACGGAGAGTAAACAATAATTAGTTAAACCTGGCATAGTGTTCTTTTTTATTCTAATTTTATTGAATTTAGCCATTCCAAAACATGCACCGATAATTTTGATGAATTGATCTAGGAATTCCTTTTCCTTTGTAACCATTTGTTGTTGAGAGGGTTTGACTTTCATTTCTGTTTCCCTTTTTCCATTGGCACCAAATGATTGCTTGCTTTTCTCTTGCTGGTCCTTAACACCCACTCTATTCTCTCATGATATACCTCAAGAAACGTTACGAAGCCTGTAATGGAAAACTTGTTTATTTTTTTGGAGGCTTGTTTGATGGAGATTTTTTATTTTTGCAGTGGCTTTTGTCCGTGGAACTTGCACTTTTGAAAGGTCGTCATCCTCTTCTGAAAGATGTTGACATCACCATCAATCCTTCGAAGGGTTTGAGTTTTGTTGAAGGGAGTGCATCTCCACAGAAAATCTTTACTCTGAATGGTATACATGACACTTCAGATCTTCGTTCTTTGTCATTGAATAAGGGTGAGAGTGCTGATCAGGTTTTGAATATTTCGAAAATGGATGTCTTGAACGGATTCGCTGTGGATCCTTCAAGCAATACTTTTGAAGACAGTGATAATCAAGTTAATGGAAGTGCTAATATCCATTTACGATCAAGAAGGCAAACCCAAGAGAAGAGCAACCTAGATAGTGTAGAACAACAAATGGAATATTATGATGGGTTGTCGAAGACTAGCTCCATTAATGACGTTTCAGAAACAGGGGGTGTAGATGGTCCAGAAGGGGATGTGGAAAGAGGCCAGGTGTTACAAACAGCCGAAGTTGTAATAAGGATGCTTGATGTGACTATTCCTGGAACCTTAGCTGAAGACCAAAAGAAAAAGGTATTGTGTAGAGCAAATTATTTGAAGATGACAGGACAACAAAATATATGTTTGCATTTTGTTGGTTAACGGGTCTGTTTATTTGTTTAGCTCTTTTTGTCTATTATGCTAAATGAATATCAATTCATATGATATTTGATCTGGTCATGTCGAAGACCTTGAAATAATTGTGATCCAATTTGTTCTAAATGTTTGATCATGCTGAGAGTCTCGAGAAATGAAGGATACTCTCTGATTAGGTTTACAATGTTCTGCATATCCTTAAGAAAAATAAAGCAACATAACTAACTGAATGTTCTTTCCTTTGGTCAGTGTGGTTTTGGATTCACAATCTGAGGCATAAGTTTAGTTCTAAACTATTCTGCTCAGAATAGAATTCTGGATTACTGGTTCTATTGTGTAGCTGGTTTAGGGGTTCACACCCCATAACCTAGCAATTTTGTCAAAAACCAAAAAGAAAGATTAAAATTTGTTCAAGTTATCTTGTCCCCAAGACCCAATAGCGAATCAGTATGGGCTCTTTTGCAATATACAGTGAAAGGGCTGACTTTATTAGTTGCATATCTTCAGAGTCTCCATGTAGTTCTACTTGCATTTATTAAGTTTAATTGGTACATTTGATCCATGCAAGTTAATGAAATCCATCAAATTTTAATAGTGGCAATTTTCTCACTGTAGAATATCTGTCTGGTAAGTCATCTCTTGCGCTGCATTGGAAGTCATTATATGCATTCTATTATGTATATCAATAGTTAATTCATCATAATATTATTTCTCCTTAAGACCAGTGGTTGTTGATAGTTTTGATCCAGACTCGTTTCTAACTAACATGTGGGTCCAGATTACGGGGAATTTTATGTTTCACCTGTATGACATTGTGCTTCAATTGTTAAATTTCACCTCGATGAAAGCATAGCCAAAAAAGGGGGGGGGGGTAATCCAGTCTTGATGCATGTGTATTTGGATTGATCGTGTGATTACTTGCCCTTACAGTTTTTTTCCTACTCTATTTTCCTTTTGGTAAATATCTAGTCATCTATTTTCTTTGTTCCCTTTTTATTAAGATCCTTTCTTGAGACATAGCCATTGTCAGTTGCAACTGGCTAGATCGAAAACAAGTTCGAGACCTTGGAACTATTCAGTTCTATTTATTTATGGTCCAGCTGGGTTTCTATTGCATGTTGTTAATACGGCGAAATGATATTAGGTGGGATATGCCATTTGCTTTCTGTGGCTATATAAAGTGGCATATACTCCAATAGATTGATGGAAGATATGTTAAGCATGGCTTGCTAATGTGTGTATGCTCTAGCATTTGCATTTCTGGATTGCATTTACTGCATGCTCGTTGATATTATGATGCACCAATTTCCTGTCAGTGATTGAAATATATGTAGGGATTTATTATTTCCTTCCAGAGGCATTTATTTTCCATGATTGTGTTTTGATAAGTATTCCACATGAGGAAAATTTTAGCTAGGTAGAGAATGTTCATGGGAGACTTTCGTAATGCAAAGCACTTGGTGGTGTGCTATTACAAAAAGGACCAATTCTAGTGAAATAGTGCATTGTTTACCACAAAGGCTCAAGAACACAAGTTGCAAAGACCATGTTTTTACTGTCTCTGTGTTTCTGAATAACAAAAGTCATGCCGGAACATGTACCTTTACCTCGCTTGCACTTCATCATGTGACCTCGCTTGCACTTCATCATGTGGGCATATGTATAAAATCAATTTTCTTCTACCATTGTAATGAGGACTTTTTTTTATATTCTCATTTGCATAAAAGACTATCAATGAGATCTATTATTTTTCATGGCTTCCTGTTAGTTATTTATATCAGATAGCTTCAGAAGATTGGAGCTCAATGTTTTTTGAAATTGTAACCATTTTAACCTTGGCTTATTCCTTTTGGACATGCTTTTGGATCTGTATATACCTTCTCTTACTGGATTTCTTGACTACCTCATTGTCTCAATAAAGAAAAAAAGGACCTGATGTTCTTTTATGCTCCCCAGGTTTTGAATGCCGTTGGACAGGGAGAAACACTTATGAAAGCTTTGGAAGAAGCTGTGCCACCAGAGGTTCGTGGAAAGTTAACATCCGCTGTAAATGAAATTGTTCAGGCTCAGGGGAAAACTTTGAATCTCACTGGGCTCATGAAGACCCGTTTGTTCCCCAACATAACATCAGAGATGAAATCCAAAGTTCAGGACAAATCAAGAGAAAAAAGTTTCACTTTTGGAAACCTTTCTTCAGATCAGTCAAATAAAGTTTCTCATAATGAAGGGAAATCCTCACAGGGGGATAGTGAATCAAGGTTGCAGGAAGACCAGAGGAATCTCCCATCTACTTCTCATAATGACATGCCAAGTTCTTCTAATGGCAATAAATCTGGTGAAGAACAGCATTCTCTGAAAAACCCATCAGGATTAGAATCTAAAACTTCATCCAATATTCGAGAAGATTCAGGCCTATGTGATACTAAGTCTGGAGGGGATGGGATTACTTCAAGGGTTGATTCTTTGGATGACACGGCAGTGATTCCTGGTGACAATAAACATGCACAAGAGGAAACAGTTCAAGCTTCTGGGAATGTTGAAAGTGGCTTGGAAAGCAACAAAGATGCAGAAAAACCCAATAGTAGTCAAGGAATTGAGAAATCAAGTGGTGGCCAAGAGGCTTCAGAAGAACCTTGGAAAGGGAATCAAAACAATGATGAAACAGGCAGGGTTTCTGCAGATGATTCCTTGTTGAAGAAAGAACCAAGTGATGCTCAGAAAAATGAAGAGAAACAGTCCATCACGGATCAGAATAAAGGAAATCCCATGGCCACAAAAGATGAAGGGCAGATGTCATCTGTTCTTTCATTCGAATCCCCAACTATCAGTGTCACTCAAGCTTTAGATGCCCTTACAGGACTTGACGACTCAACCCAAGTGGCAGTTAATAGTGTGTTTGGAGTAATAGAGAATATGATTGACCAGCTGGAAAAGGAAAACCAGGACAAAGATGAAAAAGAGGACCAGAAAAATGGTGTCTTGCCTAAGAGACAGCTCAATTGTGAATATAAGTCTGGGGGAAGTGAAGATGATGCAGAAGTACATGGCTCCAGTCGTGATGTGGACTCTGATGGTAGTTCTTCAAATAACTTTCTGAGGAACAACAATAATCCGGTTGCTAACCCACGTGACGATCACTTAGATGAAAAGGGACAAGAGACTGTCTCCCATAACAATAATACGTTCTTGAAGAGAAGCATGGTTGGGGACAAAGGAAATCCAGTAATCAGTGGTAAAATGACAGAGGAAACTAAGAATGATACTGCTAGTTGTTTGGATAGGCAAAAGGCCGACTGTATGAAGCATGGGTTGGGACATTATAGAGTTCTCCCAGAAAATTCAAGGTCTGTTAGGTATGTATATAATTTTCCATTACAGATAACAGTGAATCCGTATGGGAATTACTCGTACAAAGGATACAATACACAAAATGCTTTGTTGGATAAGTCATACAGAAAACAGCTGGACATGAATTCGACAAATGACCTTTTCCTTGAGTACTTTCCAGAAGAAGGTCAGTGGAAGCTATTGGACCAAATGGGGCATACAAGCGACTCTGTAAAAGATGTACCAATGTATAGAAATATTAAAGATAACGATATTAAAGATAACGATATTAAAGATAAAAACCAACTGAAAGATTCATCTTTTCGAGAGGCTGATACTAAGAGATATATTGAGCCAGCTTATGTATTGTTGGATAACGAATCTATTCAGTGGTCAGCAGATGGCAATATAGAAACAGATGAGTTTTCCTCGAAAGCAATACAGAATGCTGATACTGTTGAGGAACTGATGCTTGCAGTGAAGAAAATTGTCTTGGACGCTATCAAAGTGGAAGTGGCTCGCAGGATGGGCTTGCCTGGTACAGAAACAGTGGATTCAACTCTTGAACATGAACTGGAGGATGTAGCAAATGCCATCTCACTCACAGCCAAAAATGATTTTCTAGATTTTCAAAAAGTTAAATTAAAATCTAACATGGATTCAAGGAACACTTTAGCATGTAAAAGTAGTGCATGTATGGATAATTTTACTCTTAATGGGGCGCATATTGTGGAGGCCATCTCATCTGCCACCAAGGATGCCACACTTTTGGGGAAAATTCTGCCAGTAGGGGTCATTGTTGGATCCGTTTTGGTGGCTTTAAGAAATTTTTTCCATGTAATTACTGAATTTGAATACTTAGATAAGAGCCACACATCATGTTTGAATGGTGAGGTTCACAATGTGGTGGAGAATTACCTTAGTCAAAATAGTGATTCTAAATTTGGCTCACTAAGTGGTCGCACAAAGATGGATGAGTCAAAAGTACTGAACAATAAGAATGTCATGGTAGGAGCTGTTACTGCTGCCCTTGGTGCCACTGCTGTAGTGGCACATCATCAGGTAATTACATGGAAATTTACTTTAACTTAAGTATGACAATTTTTTTTTTTTTCCCCATATAATTTGCCTTTTTCGCATACAAATTGGAATATGGAGTTTAAAGTGAAGGAAGTCAGAGGAGATATATATGGAAAAATTCTAAAAAGTAGATATTTAGCCTCTATGTATGGCTACCTGCTATCATAACTTTGTTCTTCTTTTGCATTTTACACACCAGATAATTAAACCTCATGTTTGAATAGTTATTGAATATGAAGTGTTTAGCAATTTTCTTGCAGTATATCTCCCATTGTGTCTTTGTATTTCCTAGAGTACTTTCCCTCTGTCGATGCCGGTTCTCAACAATTCAAAAGCAACTTTGATCATGCTGACTGATGCACAGCTCTAAAAGTTGTGGAGCCTGACCAGCCTGGGCTTCTGCCTGAGTCAGCTAGAGGTCTAGCCATCTCACCTAGGGTGAGGCAGCTTGCCCTAGGTAGCCAGGTACCTGGTGCTCGCCTTCAAGTCATTCATAATTGGGGAAAATGCCCTTGTTTAAGGGCATTTTAGGTTGTCTTCCCACTTTTTAGGCAGGAGGAACTTTGGGTAAGTATATTTCCTGGCCTTGCTTTTGTGTGTTAAACAAATTAAACTAGATTAGTGAGATTGAGATTGATTCTTTTTTCTTATGGGTTGTTTTGAAGATTTTGATTGGATCAGAGATCATTGTGTAACTTCAAGAAGGGTTAAAAGAGAAGTTTTCGAGCTACTTGCGTCAAAGATTTTTCTCAAGCCATTGTTAGTTGGGTCATCATCATCACCAGAGCATTTTACTAACTATTTGGGGTCGGCTATGCGAATCCTGATCTGCCATTGTACTCTATCAAGGGCCATATCCTCAGTGAGGCCATAAATCCCCATATATTTTCTCATTAATTTCATCCATGTCCTTTTGGGCCTATCCTTTGCCCGTTTTGAGCCTTCCACTTGAACCAACTCATACCTCCTAACAGGTGTTGTACTGAGTCTGCGCTGCACATGGCCAGCCCACCTAAGTCTACTTTCTCTCATCTTATCGCCAATTGGAGCCATACCTAAGTTCTCCCGAATGTATTCATTTTGAATTTTATCCACTCTTGTATTGTCACTCATCCATCACAACATCCTCATCTCAATTGCACTCATCCTATGGGTATGTTGTTTCTTGACTGTTGAACATTCTGCCCCATAAAGCAAAGTTGGTCTCACAACTGTCCTATAGAACTTCCCTTTCAGCTTTATTAGTATGTGGCCATCACATAAAACTCCGGCTGCACATCTCCACTTCGCTCACCAGGCTTTAATTCTATGTGTGACATCTTCCTCAATTTCTTCATTTTCCTTGATTATCGACCCAAGATATCTAAAGTGTGCTCTTTATGGTATTTCTTGACTATCAATCTTAAATACTTCCTCGTCTCTTCTCCTATTATTACTAAACTCACATTCCATATACTCTGTCTTAGTCTGGCTAATTTTAAAACTTTTAAATTTTAGAGCATCCCTACAAAGTTCTAACTTTGTATTGACGCTGCTTCAGGGGTTATCGATCAAAATTATGTCATTTGCGAACAACATACTCTATGGTATGTCATTTAGTAGGTGCCTAGTTAAGTCATCCATAATTAAGACAAAGAGGTATGAGCTCAATGCTAGTCCCTGATGTAGACCTATTGTTACTTAAAACTCACTTGTCTTTCCTCTAGTTGTTCGCACACTAGTTAATGCTTTCTCGTACTTATTTCTCACCAAGTCAGTATAGTATCTGGAGAATCCTTTGGTTTGTAACACCCACCAAATTAAATCTCGAGGTACTCTATCATAAGCTTGTTTAAATCAATAAAGGCCATGTGAAGGTATTCTTCCTTTGCCCTAAACTTCCCAATCAGTAGCCTAAGTAGGATTGTTGACCGGGTGTGTTGGTTTATTGGTTCCCTTAACCCAAATACCTTTTTCATTTCTATGGATGTAACTTTGCCTTTCTTTGCATAGGAGAACGTGGTAAACACCACACAAATAGAAAGATTAAGTTTCAGGGTTTTGTGTCCCAAAACCCAGTTGTCCTCACCGCCATCTTCCCTACTTGAAATTTTGGGCTACCTCATGCAATAGGCAGCTTCCCAGATGGGCAAACGGGTGAACATATTAAACTTGTGTTTAAAAAGTTGTTGACTTGGGCTCAGCCCTGTCTGAGTCACTTTTTGAGTTCGGATGAAAAACTCCAAATTTTGGGTGTGTCTCGAAAGGTGCGGTTATGTACAATTCTAAGGTATAAATTCAAAATTCTCCCTTTTTTTTAATTAATAACTAGAATTTCTACTTATAATTGCCACAATATAATGCAAAAATAAACCTACTACAATCTAGGATCTTTAACTCTTACTACCAAATGAAAACTTCATTCAAAATTGAATTCAAACTTACCATATGAATCTAATACAATTAAGAATTTTAATCTAACTAGGATTCCTTGTCCAAGTAGGAATCCTAATTTAAATTAGACTTCCAATGCAATTAGGACTTCTAAAACAAATATGAATCGAGAACTGAAAAAATAAATTGCTAAACAAAACTGGGGAGACTGATTGAAACTTTGCTTAGGGGTACCCGCCCACACCTGATTACCAAACTAACGACTCATTATGATCCTTTGGTCCTACTAAATCCTCGGAACACGGAAGCACCTAGGGCAATACCCTCTAACGAAACTGGGGCTGAGAGCATCGACTAGAATTTGGGTCTCTTTTCAACCCTTAACCTCGGGTTATACCACAAACGTACCAACCTTGGCCTCAAAATGGGCTGGGCATGCCCCTCCTTTCAGGGTGGACTGGTTGGCATACCACCCTATATGGAGAGAGAGAGAGCGGCCTGGAGGAGAGGAGAGGAGATAGAAAGGTCTGAACTTAGATGGTGGGAATGAGGGGAGGACTCTCTTTATATAGGCTTCAATGGCCCTAGGGTAATGCCCATCTCAATTGGGATACAGTTTGACCATATGATTTCTGGAGAATCTGTGAGGTGAGAGGCAAAACAAATCCGAGCCATCCATTCATAAAATCAACCATCATGATTAAGAAGGAATCTAGAAGCCTTATCCTCTTTGACCGATATCTACTCCTAGTTAACCTAGGATAAGACCAATCAAAACTTATCTTCTATTTTGACTGGAGTTTCTTCTCTTACAAAACTTTATAGAAATTCAAAGTTAAATAGTCTTGGTTAATTTTCAAAATCATATGAATAACTCCTAACTAATTAAATCTAAAATACCATAATCTCACAAAGTCCCTAAGGGAACATTTCCCAAACAAGTGGGAAACCTTCCCCCTACAACTGGAGAGTGTCACCTAGTGTGGGACGTCTAGCCCATGTGGGCCCCACATCCCACCCCTTGTGGATCCCCCATGTGTGGGAGCTGGGCCCATGGTCCGCCACGTGGGTCCCACTATGCCCCTACAAGTTTCCAAAATATCGATACTGCACTTTTAGGGGTTTTTTATGCATAAAATAGTTTTGTTAAAATCTGAAAAATATTTAAAAAGCACATGAACATAAAGACATCTGGAACAATATTTATAATGTTCTTTAAAAGTCTAAAACACTCTGAAATCGCTCTAGCAGTGGTTTGGTATTAGTAGTAAAAAAACAGTGAATGGTAAGGCACTCCACTTGTGCTAGAATCCGTGATCCACAACTATCTTATCAAACCAACCCAATGGGACCCATGACTTGCAGTTATACGCAGAGGCTCATGATTGGCCCATCAAAGCTAGGCAATAAATAGTGAAGCCACAGGCCTAGTATGTAAATTACAGGTTCCCCCGAAGAGCAAGTCACATGTACGTATCACTATAGTGCAAGGGGATACTCTTTATGGACATCTACATGTATTCCTCTATAGGGTTTCTTCATTGAAAGTGACTGTCATATGTATGTGTCGTGTAGAAGTTTGTTGAAGATTGAACCTTGCTCTCACAAGCTTACAACCACACATAGGATATCACAAAACTCTCTTGGTATGCACATATTGCCCCTGGGCCTCTCTCTGACCTCAACAAGGGGTGATCCTCTAGAAAACCCTCAACAATAGTGCATATGCCTAGGGGAAAGGGTTTTGGACATGATTTGACCCACAGACCACCCAACTCTAGGTCAGTCAACCAACATACAGTCCCACTGAACTGTACAGTTCACTATATTTCTTATTTTTTTATGTGCTCTCACTGGTTTTAAATGCCACATACCCTAACAAGTCTCCAAGCCCTGGTCTGCCTGAGCTTTTTACCCAGGGACTTGGCCAATTTGGACTATCGACTTGGCCGAGCTAGTGGCTGACTCGGGCTTGAGACCCCTGATGGATTTGAGCTTGACTTCTTGTTTTCAAACACTACACTTGGCTGATGCCGGTCTTCATTCTATTTTGTAATGTGAATTAATTTTTTATCTTTATCTTTGATAATATGATTTCATTCATGTGTCTAGCACGGTTATATATTCATTAATTTGAATGTAAATATGCAATTGTATCATGCCATCAACATTATAAAAGGGCCTGAAATAAAAATATTTTAAAATTGAAATTGGATTGTCATTTTCTTAGTTATAGTATTCTACCTGACTTTCTTGATTCTGTGGCATATTTTTTTGTTTTTATGAATTGTAGCTGCAGTATGCAGTTATGTTAACCGTCAGGGAAACAGTATGTTTTCAATTGTTGCATACCTTATCAAATCTCTATGTTATTCATTTGGATATGCGACCTACTTATTTTTTATGCATGTTCCGTGGTTTTCTTACATTCTACTGACTAAATTGGGAATTACAGAAAATGAAGAACTCCGAAAGTCATGAGAAGACTGAGATGCCATCTAATGCAAAAATAGGGAAACGAGATTCAGAAGATGAAGGTGGAATAGTTGTTGATTCAGTTGAGGAAAAGAGCAAACATAGTTTAGTAAGTAGCATTGCAGAGAAAGCCATGTCCATTGCTGCTCCCGTGGTTCCTACTAAGAGTGATGGGGGAGTTGACCAGGAAAGGTTAGATCGCATGTTTATTTTCTTACCTGTTGTTGTCACTTTTTTACTTTATATGTTCTTGAGTTTTTTAAGGCTTGGATGATGATGATGGTGTTCTTGAGTTTTTGAGTTGAAACATTTGAGCATGCAGGTTGGTGGCCATACTTGCAGACTTGGGACAAAAAGGCGGAATATTGAGGCTGATTGGGAAGGCTGCCCTACTATGGGGTGGATTACGTGGTGCTATGAGTTTGACTGACAGGCTAATAATGTTCTTGCGTATAGCGGAGCGGCCCTTGCTCCAGAGGTATGGATGATTATAAGAGTTTTCTTGCAGTCTCATCTGTGTACTGTCCTTACCTTTTGAAGATTATTTAAAATTTAAATTTCTTAAAATTGTTCATTCATACATTAAAATTTTCCCTATAGAACTTTCGAGTACTTTCGGAGTTTTCCTTTAACGATAGTAATTAATTATTTATAGAAAAAGAACTACTCCTTCGTAGACATTGCTTAGACTGGTTGTATATGCCGTTTATATTCTAACTGCCGCTAGCATGAAAGTCTTGTTTACAAAGTTTTACTTGTCTTTGTTTGTCTGATGCAAGTATTCTAATTCCTTTGTCCGTAAGATCAATTATAAGAAGATTCATTTTCGAGAAGGTCATTTCTTATCATTTTTTAAGGCATAAGATTTTTGCATAGTTCATATGCTCATTTTGTAAAATATGTTATCAAAGCCAACTATAAAGAATATGCAAAATACAGATCCCAATTGTGCTGGAATAGGTGAAGATCCTTATCATTTAGAATGTATAACATATGCTTGCCGGTCAGGTTACATGGTACTCTGTACTTAACAAATATGCAAATGGAGCATGACACATTATCTAGGTACTCTGTACTTAACAAATATGCAAATGGAGCATGGCACATTAAGTGACACCACATATATAATAAATACCTGGCTGTAACAACATAATGCATAATCTGGCACCATTTTGGGAACTGATCTGTGGTGCCACAAGTATCCTGAGATTTACAACCAAGAAGTTTCAATAAATGTCCTTGCAGGAGTTAACGATAATCTGTTTGTATTGTTTTGGCCTTTCATGGCCACTCAATAGCTATTAGAGTAAAGATAACTGCAATTTGATATATGGATGACCCATGGGAAGAGAATCTATAGTTAACTTTAGAACATAAAGAATAGAGTCTAGAATCTAGATCTGGATGATTCGATCAAATGGACATCCAGAACAAGTTCCAATCAGCAATGAATCAATGACAGTTACAAGTGTACATTTTATTAGTCTGTAAGCATGTCTAGTCGAACCATTCCTTTGAGGAGTGCCTTAAAATGAAGCAACGAGTGGAGTTCTTTGTTTTGGAGGAAATCGTAGCTTAATTCCATCCTTGCACATATTTTAATTTTAATTGAAGCTTTCAGGAAAATCTTGTGATACTAGGTGGATGGTTTGATAAGAGTCATTCTTGATAGGATGCTCAAAACTCTTATGAAGCCCATGGGCATTTGTGAGGCTATGGATGCAGAAGTGAGAGCCTTGTTGACAGGCCATAGGGTTTCTCCCCAATTCTTTTAGGATTTTATGATAGTGGAAGGTGTTTCACATATTGAACCCATGGGGAGACAGAATGTACCTTAGAATATCTAGTATGATGGAGGAAATATTCAAGATCTGAAGGATTTGCCCATCTCTTACTCTTGTATGTTTCATATTAATACCTCATGAAAAATTGAGAAATACTCATGAGGAGAAAGTTGTTTTTGCTTAATTCACATTTCTTATGATCTTGGTTTGTTAATGCTAACCCAAGTTTGAACTCAGTCTGTCATTAGATCGGAGTCAAACTGATGATCTGGTGTGGGCATGGGTGGGGTCGTTTAGAATTTCTGTGTTAGAAAAACCCTTCTTTTCAAATGCAACATGGCCAGACTCCATTTGGCTTTTTTTCTAAATCTATATGACAATGGTCTGGTTTGGGTACACCCATCATTCCCTGAGACAACACATTGGGCTTACAAACTATTGTGTTGACGTCAGAACCTTAATAAAAGTATGAAATGTATGTGGCCCAGCTAAAATGTCCCTACTCCTACATGTAATTTTAATAGTTTATACCAGAGTTCAAGAAAATGGGTGACTTGAACTCCTCCGAGTCACTGGGACCCGGCAGGGTGCTGGATCCAGATGAAAAGCTCCAAAGTTTCGACGAGTCTCTCTTGAGTCCCGGTCTCCTGTGTTTCTTACCTAGAGACTTGGCTGAGTGATTTGCTAACTCTCGTGAGTTAGAGGCTCACTCTGGCTCGTGACCGTGTTTGTTTTAAAATGCTTGTTTGTTAGTTATACAAAAGGATTTTTATGAGTTAGTATAAACGTTACTCTGATTGATGAGATGGAATTTTCCCCAATGTTCTTCTTAAGTAAGTCTTTGACAGGTCTCATCTGTTCTGGTGCAAAACATTTTGATTTTACCCTTTTAGTCTTTTTTAATACGCAGAAAATTAGAACATGTTGTCATCTCAAAATTTAGTATAGGTTCCTTTTTTTTTTTTAAAAGGAAATGAACCTGTCAGAACCTAAAAGCTTTTTGACACCATATGTTTACAATAGGTTCTGTCGTATCTTTTTAAATAAAATGGGAACCTGTCAAATTCTGATAGGCCTTAAGTATTGAAAGACCTATTGGAATAGGGTAGGATACATTTTTATCTTTTGCGTTATTGGATTTTATAGTGGTGTTATCAAGATTGGACTGGCCATTGGTAAATGGTTTGCACCTGTCAAAATCAGTTTGATTGTCATTGGGCAAGATTTCTGGAGGAAAAAAAAAAGAAGGGAAAATAGTCAAGCGATATGAAATATAATGTAAAAAGCACATTCTTTTCAAAGTTGTTTTGTCGGATTCAACCATACTATATTGGCCCAACAAATCCAGCGGTGGTTTGATCGGTTTTGGTGCAAACCCCATTTTGCTCTGGCTAGGAGTGGCCAATGCACCAGTGAATGATAGGACCAGTCGAACTAGCTAGCTTGATGCGGTCAGTCCGGCCATTTGGGACTGGGCAAAAGGGATCATGAGGAGCAAAAGTGGAGGCAACTTGGAAATTTGAGTAGTTGGAATACATAGAACTGCAATGGGAAAGGCTGCAACTTGGAAATTTGAAACTATGGATATTTGCATTTTTATATTTATATTCGGTATTGGTCTTCATGGAACTAAAAGTTTGAAAATTTCAACCGGATAAGAACGCATAGCGTTTGTAAACTTCGGGTTCACAACAGACCTTTCTGATCCGAAAGGCCAGTTAAAATTCGACAGTTTTGATTTCTTTGAAAGATAAAGCGACAATCTGTTGTAGACATACATTGTTGAAAGTCCTATCAGGTTCCTGCAGGTTTTGTTTTCTTTAATAAGTAAACAGGCCACCGATTGCAAACTTTGGGATTTCAGTGGGCTGTGATTTTCTTCGCATAAATAAAAAAAACAATTATAGGGTAAATAGAAAGTTCTGAAGCAGCAAATGCATATGACCTTTTGGAGGCTTACTTGTGTAAATCAATTGGGGTAAGTAATACTCTTTTAGTATGATTGAGTTTGTCGGAAACACAATAGTAGAAGTGCAAAAGTAACATTCAAAATCAGACACTGCGTAACATTTGGCTCCAGTTCATGCCAGTGTGATGTGAATTCTTATTCCAAATTTGAACTATAGTCCATTTGATCTTGGTCATGATCGAATGCGTAGTATATCTCTTCCTGAAAACATCTGGTTGAATCCAAACATTCTTTTGTATGTGCTATTGACAAGAAACCACTTCTCTATTTACTCATGCGCAACGGTTCCATCAGTAGTCTTGGACAACTCTGCTTGGTATTGTTGTAATTTAAAGGCTTTTTTGGATGAAGCGCTCAAGTCGCTTCTTAGAGCCGCCATATTGGGAATGGGTGCCTGTTTTTTACCCCATCCCCAATATGTCAGGTTCACATACAACACCTACACAATGGGATAGGTTTTCTGTACCAAACTCCTTATATTGAGGTGCTTGTGATAAGCCAGTGCTATCTGCAACTTTGACTTTAGCATTTAGTCTCATGAACTGAAGTTCTTCATGTTTTTATGCTTTCTGTTGTTTTGTTTTTTTTAAAAAAAAGAAAAAAGAAGAGAAAATAAAAATGTAACGTTTGGAGATAACCTGTAGTTCTAAATCATACTGTGGATCTCATATTATATGCTTTTTCAATCACCTCTGGGTTGCATGCGTCAATTTCTTTATTTTGCCTTCTTATTCATGTCTTATGTTCCTCATTTTGTGCATGTTATGCTCTAATATTATCTAATTCCTTTGAAAATGAGATAATCATTTTCATAATTATCTTACTATCTTGGTTTTGTAGGATTCTTGGGTTTGTCTGTATGGTGTTGCTTCTATGGTCCCCAGTTGTTGTTCCACTACTTCCAACTTTTATACAGAAGTGGACCAGGCAAAGTTCAGCTGGAATTGCTGAATACATTTGCATTATAGGGCTATACATTGCTATTGTGATCCTTGTCACGATCTGGGGTAGAAGGATTCGAAGCTATGAAAATCCACTTCAGCAATATGGGCTGGAGCTAAATTCACCATCTAATGTATGAAAACATCGTACTTTTGTTGTGGCAAAATTTGTCTTTTGGAAGATGATACTTGTAGCATTTCAGGAAACTTGAAATTCACAAAGCCCAGACAGAAAAGAACAAGCCCTAACTTAATGTTGTCACTGAATTTGTAGTTTCTAGTATCCACCTCTGATTTCGAACCTTTTCTTTTTCTGTTGTATTCTTTTATGTTTTTTCATGCTTCTGATGAAAGACTAATGTGTCTTTCTTATTCACAGTTCCATGATCTTCTCAAGGGTTTGGCAGCAGGCGGGGGACTTGTTGTATTGATCCATCTGATGAATGCTACACTTGGTTACTCAAAAGTCACTTCGCCGTCCTTTCTTACTTCATCGCCGTCGAGCATGCTTGATGGGTTCAGGGCCTTTAGAAGCATGCTACTTCTCTCTGCAAAAGGGTTTTTCACAGCAATTAGCATCGCCGCTGTGGAAGAGCTACTTTTCAGATCATGGCTTCCTGAAGAAATTGCTGTTGATATTGGGTATCATAAGGCTATTGTGATTTCTGGGCTAGTTTTTGCTCTCTTTCAGCGGTACTCTCTCTCTCAAAATCTACTATTCGGGATTAGTACTGCTATCTTCCTCCTAGTGTGTGGGTTTAGTACCTTAAGGCGTTTATGTTGGACACTTTTGGAACCCTGATCGTGCAGAAAATGCTGCAAACAGTAGCTCTTTGATAATATCTGTAGGGAACAAAAACCTATTTTCCCTCGATACATAAAAGGGATGAATATCCCTAAGGGCGCACACCCCAACTGGCCCTTTAGCATATATACTTTAAACCATACCCTATTTTTTCACGGCCTGTGTGAGTCAACTGACATGAGATCCCTGAGTTTATGTTAACTCAAGCTTGGGTGAGGTATTCAAATTTTGAATTAAAGCTACCAAAATTAATACCAAACAATGTTGTGGGGATTTTAGTAGTATATTGAACTTGGTCTCAAGCTGGAATCTTGACGGCAGAATGAAAAAGTTCCTTCTAAAATTAAAATACCGCTAGTTTTTCTTGAAAATTGAAACACAGGTACATGACCAAGTCAGGACTGAATTTAAGTTTGAGAAAATATCTCCATACCCCTAATTTTTAGGTTTCATTTCATAATAGACCTAAGGTTTTAAAAGATATCTTGGGGCATAAAAATTGTAGATTGTATTTCTTCTAACCGCTTTAGCTAATTTAAACCTGTTTTGTTAGGTCAAACAAATCTTAAAAAACATGCCTTTTCTAAGAGTCATCCTCCCAAACTTCTAGAGAGAAAAGGACTTCATGGAGGTGAGAGGTTACCGGGAGGAGAGAGAGAGGTGTTTGGAAAAACACAGGAGGAGAGAGAGTGAGAGACCCAGGAAAAGAGAGAGAGAAGTTTGGGGTATATAAGTGAAGAGAAAGAAATGATTGGGTTTAGAAAGAGCATGTCTTTCGCATAGTTGTTTAGGTTAAAAAAAAGGTTTAAAGTGGCCAGGGGTTTAGCAAATACACTTTGAAATGTTGGGTTTATCAAGAAATAAAATCTAAAAATAGAGGATATGGAGATATTTTCTCTTTTAAGTTTTTTATACATTTGAGTCTAACCTACTCTCTTGGGCCTATTTGGATGAACTCGCACAATCAAAGGGGTTATTTCTTAAAGTCTCTTAATTTTTATTCCAGGCAGTCTAAGGGCCTGCACATACACACACACACTCCCAAACACACATGCAGGCACACACACATATGCGCATGTGCACGTACAGACACAGACATACACACAGACATACACACGCAAACACACAACTGGATGATGGAACATGAGTTCTACTTGGCTTACTGTTTAGGGCAAGCAAATAGTTGCTGCTTGACATTGAAAGGTTCTCATCAGAAATCTTGTTTCGTCAATTTTTATTGCAGGTCCCTGTTCGCAATACCCGGGCTATGGTTGTTGTCCTTGGCCATGTCAGGAGCCAAGGAAAGAAGCAAAGGCAGCCTTTGCTTAGCTATAGGAATACATACAGGCCTTTTAGTTACCAATTTTATTCTGCAAACCATTGGCATCTTCACATATCGACCGGACACCCCTATTTGGGTAACAGGTAGTTGTCCATGGCACCCATTTGGTGGTGCATTTGGTCTAAGCTTATCAGCAATATTAGCCATCATTCTTTATCCTCGGCAACGTGTTCCAAGGAAGCTGATTTCATGATGTACGAAATAGAATTTCTGGGAAATTTAGTTGTGGAATATTTGTAAAATAGTGCAGCCAGAAAATCGGTTGATCAAGAGCTTGATTGGTGGTAACTAAAGAAAATATAGGAGTGAGAAGTTTGCATGGTTCAATCAAGAGTGTGATTGGTGATAGCTGAAGAATCTTGGAGGGGTATGGAAGTGAAAAAATTGGCCATATCCAAAGAATTATTTGGTCAACTGTCGCAGTGAAAATTTTGGCCATATTCGATGAACAGCCAGACTGCTGATACCCAGAGCATGTAGATTCGTTTCCCATTAGTTAATTCAAAATCCTCCTGGTTTCAACTTATTAAATGGCTGGCAACCCATACAGGTGGGTGTTTTCTTACGTGGTCCCCAAGCTGTAGAATTTTTGTTTTGTATTCATTTCGCTCTTTAATGTTCATCAAGAAGGGGTTTATAAAGTTAGACCCCTATAGAGGTTCAAAGGCTTGAAAGGTCGAAACCATGAGGACCACAGGATGCGATGGATGTATATTGTGAAAAATAAGATATCTTGTAGATGCAGAAAACTGTGAATATGTTTGTCTTTGCTTGCATATACTGTCCCCTGTCCATAGCCACCTTATTTGCTAAATGAATATTACATGAATGTTGCATAAAATATTGGCTGAATTTTGTTAGAAATGTGCTTGTTTGGGAACACAGGACAGGACTGTTTAAAAAGTTAACCAATTCTTTCATAATAACAATAGAAACAAAAATGGATTCCATTGAAGGGGAATGAGTATCAGGATACTTGTATATATTGTGTAGTATGCTGTAACTACCATCAGCACTACTTTTGCAGGAAAGGATGGCTGATGTTTAGATTTATATCGAAGTACGATTGCGGAAAATGTTACTCGTGGCCTGATGAATGCATGCTGCTTGTGCACGCTACAAAATTACAAATTAACAAATATCAAGATCCCAGTATTGAAATGCAAAGGTAATCTGTGGCATCTGTTGGTATTGCTACAGTTTCCCATCTTAAGAAGGTATGTTATTCCTCCTCTTGATGTTCGAAGTTTGTGAAAAAGTAATTGACAAGACTCGTCAAAAAAAAAAAAAGGAGAGTAAGAAATTGAAACTTTTGAGCAGAGAGAAGACACATTTCCGTTGGCGTAAAACCTAATGATAATGTAGAAGTGTAAAACCTAATGATAATGTAGAATACAAGTCCATTTGTAATTTACATGATGATTCAACTGGCTGCAAAACACTGAATATTGCAGCAGGACACATTCACAGAAGGCCCCTCTGCCTTACCACTAGCCATGCTCCCAAACGATATGGAAATCAATGGAAACACATTTCTCCCTGTATAGACTGAATAATTGGTTATTTTATTTTATTTATATATCCTTACTTCTTACCCAAGAAAAAGGAAGACACGCTTTTCACCGCCTTTTGAACTCGGTTCCTTTGAGTTTATGCAATGCGTCAATGGCTATGGTATAATTTTATCTAAAAAACCTATCAGCATTTTCTGAAGGTCGACGAAGTTTTAAAAGTGGGTGTTCCATTAGGCCATATTCCGAAATAAAGCTAATCTTTATTTGGCAATAAAAATGGGAAGTCTCATGCACTAGGTAGAGATGTTTTTAGTGTGGCTGGTGCCATAACATCACATCTATAATTCCATTCTTATGAGGTTCCAAGTTAATATTGAAAAGAAAAGAAAATAAATAAATAAATAAATAAATAAATGTGAACTTCTAAAATCTCTTCATACAAGCCATACAACATCCAACAAGCAGTTAAAGAAGTTTGCTCTTACTTTGTGATCGATTATCAATTTGGGAATCAAAATTCTCAGGAATTGGCGATGTCACTATAGCGAAGCCCACAAATACAATCAAACAGAATCTAAGTCCAAACAACAAAGTAGCAGAGCTGCAACGAAAGACTTGTTATCTCTGAGGAGACATGAAAACTGTCTTTTTTTTAAAGAAGCATCATAATTAACAAAGGGAAAGGTTTTTATACTTCCCCTACACAATAGAAGATCTGAAAGGTTTTTATACTTCCCCTACAACATAGAAGATCTATGCTTCCCCTACCATCCAGCTATCTCATTTTGATCAAAAGAACCACACACCATTTGATCTTAAATCTGATTTTCCAAAGTATTTTATTTTAACTTTTTTTATACAAATTGTATGAATATGAAATTTGGTACATGTCATCTTTTCACTGGGGTGCACCTATAAAAAATATTAAAAATAATTTTTCGATAAAATATAGTGACCAAAATACCCCTTGAAATTTTCACATGTATTTTGGTCATTTTATTTTATTAGAAATATTTTTTTTATATTTTTTCGCTAGTACGAGTTTAATAGAGGATTGGACGTCTAAAATTTGGTATCAAAATAGTTTATATAAAAAAATTAAAATAAAATAGTACAGAGACATGACATTGTGATTGGGACAATCTTAGCCCTCCGTTCAGGATAAGTATATAAGTTTTATGCTGTAGGGGAAGCCTAGAAAGCTTGCCCTTAACAAAAAAAAAAAAAGCCTTACAAAAAATCCCTTCTAGCAAACCCCGATCAAACCCGAACTATAACTTAACTTGGACCCGGACCTGACCTAAAAAAGAAATATATATATATATATATATATATATAAGAAAAGAAGTCTGTAGTAGTAACGTTAACCTATGTTCGTTTTAGGAACAAGAAACGAAACTATTAAGTAA